CACATTGGAAAGAAAATCTCAGAATGGGTCACATTGAAACTAACCTGACGCAGTGAGTGAAGCCTGTCTTCAGTCTATTCTTTTTCTCTTCTGCCTTCCTACTGATAAACTCTAAAAGTTAACAATTAAATACCTGGTTCTCTGTTTTGCCTCCCTCACTATGCCTTTCTTTTTATTTATTTATTTATTTATGAGATTGTGTTTCACTCTGTCACCCAGGATAGAGTGCAGTGGCATGATCATGGCTCACTGCAGCCTTGACCTTCCGGGATCAGGCAATTCTTCAGCCTCAGCCTCCTGCTTAGCTAAAGCTTTCTCCTTTCTAAGTTAAATCTCTCTTCTTCTTGGTTTCTTTAATATCAGTTAATTACAGTGACACACTCTGTTGCTTCCAGTGTTTCAGGACTCCCTGTGAGCTGGAAAGAGGAATACATACTCTGGTCAATGGACAGGAGTCTTCAACAGATCTTTCGGTACCTGGAAAATGCAAGGTGAGGGAATGTCATTTCTGGGTGGGGGATTGAAGGTGGAAGAGAACTGAAGAGGGAAGGGAGGGGGAGGAAAGAGGGAGGAGAGAGTTTTATCAGTAGGGGAAGTTCTGGGTCCAAATTTGTGTAAGGATTATTTCTGAGTGGAAGGGAACAGTTGTCTTCCTTTGTCCTGGTGAAGAAATTCTTTCTCTTTTTTTGAACTAGAAAAGGTAGGTTTATTAAAGATATGTTGTAAAGGGCACAACGGGCAGGGCAACAGCAAGAGTGTCTGCTGTCTGCTGCCAAATTTTTTCCATAAATAATTGATGTTGGGGAAAGTAACTTTTTTTTCCAGTTCTCTCTTGGGCCTAAAATATTTTGCATTTAAAATGGCCACTCTCATTCCTTTTCCCACTTCAAAGCAAATGGAAACTTTTCTCTTTATTTCTCAGATCAAGTCTTATGGAACCTGGTTTATCTGAATCACAGGATATGAGTTCTTCTTCTCAAGATATAAGTTCTTCTTCTATCTCCCCTGTTCTTGGGAATCAGGAGCCTGTTCTACCCTGCTGTGACTGTCAGAAGGCAGAACATTCTACTGACTACAGCATCTCCTCTGGATCATCATGCAATAACTCCAGCCAGTCTCACTTTTCTGTCTTTTCTGAAGGAACAACCTGGGAATTCCAGAGCCATAGTTTACCTGGTTCCTTGGAAAAGCAACCATCTGTGTTCAGGAACCAAGGTACATCCTTGCCTCCTTTTCAGCTGTCAGAGCCTGAGAAATCAAAACTTTTGCAGAATTTGGCAAGCCTTTCATCCTTACAACCGCAAAGCTCTTTTATCAACTCTAATTTTGAACCCCTAAATATCTGCAAACAAAAAGAGAAAACAAAAAATGAGAGAAGGAGCAAGAGTCATTTGACATCAGATCATGAACCAAATTCTGTTTCCAAGGAGAGACCACAACTCTCAGGGTGGGGTTCAATCCAACTCTCTCCTTTGGCTAGAAGGGAGCTAGAAGGACATATGTCTTGGAAGGTTGGTACTTTGCAGAAACAAATAGTGCCTCTGCCTGTGAGGGAATCACAGGCAATGCTGAATTACTTAATTGAAGTACAAGGAGGAGTCCCTGAACCAGAGAAACCCCAAACGCAGTTATCTATGCCCATTTGTCAAAGCACTGAGCAAAATAACAATAAATCCCCAGACCTTCCATCATTTCAGCTCCATGTGAACATTGGAGTCGAATCTGGATTAAGTAGGACAGAAACAAAATTTTCACAGTCACTTATCTCGGGTAGGCAGTTACAGCCTGGGGACAACCTTCAAAGCCTCGGATCCAAGCCTTTAGTTACCTCAATGGGTATTCTACCTCCCAGAAGTTTAGGAGCTAATGTAATTCAAGAGGAAACTACTTCACTGAAGAAAGACCCAAAACACGTTCTAGAGCTTAGTGTAGGGCAGAGGGTCATTGGTCTGCCAGAAACGATACAGCAGCATAAGACACAAGTGACTAATATGGAGTTGACCTCAAGACTACCATATCAAGTCACAGATAGCATAAAGGTAACTCCACTGGCTTTACTTCAGGTCATGGATTCAATGGGGAAGATCCCAGAGCCACAATCAGAAGTGATAGAATCTGTGGGTTTGTTCCTACAGCCACAAAATCAAGTTGTAAAACCAATGGAAGCCATGGAAACAGTAAGTGTAACCCTAAAGCCATGGAATCAGGTCATTGAATCAGTGGAGATGACCCCAAGGCCTCAACACCAAGTTATGAAATTAGAGAGGATGGCTTCAAGACTACTGAATCAAGTCACAGATAATGTAAAGGTAACTCCTGCAGCACTGCTTCAAGTCATGGATTCTATGGGGATGATTAACAGATCACATCCACATATAGAATCAGTGGGAATGATCCCAGCACCACAATATCAAGTTATGGAGTCAGTGAAGATGAACACATTGTTGAACCATCAAGCCACAGAACCCGAAAAGATGAATCTAAGACCACAACATGAAGTTTTGGAAACTACAGAAATGATCCCAGGGCCACAGCATAAAGTCATGGAATCGGTGGGCATAACTTCATGGTCACGAAGTCAAGTCATAGAACAAGCAAAGAGTACTACAGGGCCAATACATCAAAACACAAAATCACTGGAAATTATCTCAGCACCATTGCATCAAGTCATGAGTAATGTGAAAATAACTCCAGTTGCACTATTACAAGCCATGGATTACATAGGGATCATTCCACCAGCACAGTCTCATGTAGAATCCTGGAGTTTGACCCCAGGTTCACAGTTGCAAGGTAGGAAAACCATCCATTTGGTCCTACCACCAGAGTTTCAAGATATAAACACTATGGAGTTGACCCTAAGACCATTACTGGAAAATACAGAATTTGTGAAGTTGGCCCCAAATTCACCATTACAGGACATCAGACCTGAGAAGACAGACCTAGTACTACAGCTTGAAGATGTACAAACTCCACAAATGAAAGAATGTAGGAGGTTAATTCCTGAGATACAGGTGCAAAGTACAAAATATGGGGAATTGAACAAAGGGACACAAATTCAAGCAGTAAAATCTGCTTCATCTGTAGAGATGAACTCCAAACCAAATGATCAAGCCAGAGAGTCTGAAGGATTAGCCACATGGCATCAAGCCTCAGAATGTTTAGGGATGATCTCAGAGCCAGGGTATCAAGGAACAGAAGAGAAGTTGACCTCTGACACTTGTCACCAAGTGGAGGAATCTATTGCATTGAAACAGTCATCTTTAGAAATTATCCCAGGGCCACTGAGCCAAGCTTCAGAATCTATAGAGATAAACTCAATATCATTCCAAGGCACCCCTGAGACAACACATCAACTTGTAAATGCAGTAGGGGAAATTCCAGCATCACAACACATAATAAAAGAATCTCTGGATTTGATGCCAGGATCAGAAAAGCAAAGTGTGAAATCAGAATTGTTGACCCCAGAACCACAGCCTCAAGGTACTAAATGTGTTCATCTGAATCTAGGACCATGTGCAGAAGTTGCTGAGTTGTCAGAGTTACCCCTCAGATCTGAATATGAAGATACGGAAACTATGCGACTGGTATTGCCTCAAGTTGATAACACCCAGGGGGTCATCCCAATACCATCATATTCAGAGACAGAATCTTTGGAGTTGACTCTAGGACAAGGGATGCGATCTGAGAAATCAGAACCACTACTACAAAATTTGAAGTCTGTGGAGTTAACCTGTGAGTCATCCCCATTAGTGGTAGGATCCAAAGAGTTAATTACAGAAACAGAAACAAAACCACATGTTATGGACTTGAGCCCAGAGCCACAACTCCAGAGAGCAAAGTACAGGCAGTTTGATCTACAGCCACAGTTGCAAGATGTAACATATGTGAATTTAATCCAACGGAATACTACAGGAGTAGTTGAATCTGATAAGATGATACTAGAACCCGTGATACGTGTGTCATTGGAGGCATTGAGTAAGGGGGCACATCTCCAAGATGTGCAATCTGTGGATTTAAATCTGGGCCCACGGCAACCAAGTATTAAATATTCTGGATTGACCCCAGGGTCACAGTTGCAAAGTGTCAGTTTTTGCAAGTTATCTCCAGAGCCACTTCTTCAAAGAGAAAGGTCTGTAGATTTAATCTCGGGGTTCCCACAGTATGGTGTGAAATCTGATGAATTGACCTCAGATTCCCCAATGCAAAAAGTCAAATCGTTGGATTCTATCCCAGGAACAAAGCTTCAAAGTGTCAAATTTGTACATTTGACTCCAGAACCACAACCTCAAGGTGTGGAATTAAACCCAGGACCATCCTTGCAAGATGTCAGATTTTCTGATCTGATCCAAGAACCAAAGCATCAAGGTTTCAAACAAATGCAGTTGATACCAGGAACTCAGCTTGAAGATATAAAGTCTCTAGGGTTTGTACCAGAGTCATCTCTGCAGTTAAGCCAAGGGCCACATGTTGAAGGTATGAAATCTGTTTTGCCTACTGAAGGATCACAGTTTCACAGCATGAACTCTGTTAACCTGACCTCAGAACTACAATCTCAAGATGTAAAATCTGAGGAGGTAAAGCTAGGGCTACAGCAGCAAGATAGCAAGTGTTCTGAATTGATTTCAGGGCCAAAGCTTCAACATGTCAAAATTGGGGAGCAAACCCCAGAATCAATGTTTCCAGGGTTTCAAGGTATGAAACAAGAACAGCCTGACCCAGAGCCATGGCTACAAGATGTCAAATGTTTTGATTTGACACCAGGAGCTCAGCCTCAAGGTATGAATTCTTCTGAATTGAACCAAGGACCACAATTACAAGATTTAAATCCTGTGGAGTGGGCCCCAGTCTCAAAACTGCAAGGTTTAAAATCTGAGAAGCTCATTCCAGAGCCACAGCTAGAAGAAATGAAATCTGTGGAGTTAACCCTAGGGCCACATTTGGGAAGTATGAAATCTGTGACATTTACACCAAAGCCAGAGCTGGGAGATGTCAAATCTATGATGTTAGCCCCAGGGCCACAAGCAGAAAGTGAGCAACTAGGGGAGCTAACCTCAGACTCAGAGCTTCAATCTGAGTTGCTGACCTCAGGATCACAGTTGGAAGTTATGAAATCTGTGGCCTTAACTCCGGGACCACACCTGGAAAGTATAAAATCTATGGAGATAGCCCCAAATCCACAGCTGGAAGGTGGGCAATCTGTGGAGATAAACCTGGAATCACAGATAGATGTCATATCTGTGGAATCCACCCCTGATTCCAAGCCTCAAGGTGTGAACTCTGTGGAGTTGACTCCAGGTTCAAGAATTCAAGATTTAAAAACTGGAGAGTTGGTCCCAGGTATACAGCTGCAAGATTTGAAAGCTGTGGAATTACAACTTGGGCAAGATGAGAAGTTCATGGTTTTTGCACCAGGGCTGTTGCCTCAAGGTAAATCTATGGAAATGCTTCAAGAGCCTCAACTACAAGGTGTGGAACCTGAGGAAATGACTTCAGAGTCACAAATGCAAGGTATGAAATTCATGCCGATTACTCCACGTTTAAAGTTTCAAAGTTTAAAATCTGCAGAGAAGCCTCCAGATCCACAGCTGCAATGTGTAAACTCTGTGAAGTTGACTCCAAGTCTAGAGATGCAGGCAGTAGAATCTGTAACCGCAATACAAGAGTTTAAAGGTATAAAATCTGTGGATTTAGCCCTAAAGCAACAGTTTCAAGAAATAGTACCTCTGGATTTAACTCCTGGGCCCGAACAGGAAGGTCAGGTATCTGTAAATTCACTAGAGCAGCAATGTGTGAATTTTCAGCAAGTACAAAGAGAGTCTGAATCAGGAGGTGTAATGTCTTTGGAATTAATTCCAGAGATAAAATTTGAAGGCATAAAATCTGTAGATTTCAACTCTGAGCAACAGTTGGAAGGTATGAAATCATTTGAATTGACGGCAGAATCAAATATGCAAGATATAAAAGCTAAAGAGTTCAAATGTGAACCACAGTTGCAAAGTATGAAATCTCCCAAATTGACCCCAGGACCACAGTTGCACCAAGTGAAACCCTTGGGCTCAACTTCAAAGCCACCGCTTCAAAGTGTGAAAATTGTGGAACTAAACAAAGAGCCAGTACTTGGAAGAAGGAAATCTGTTCAGTGGCTACCAAGATCTGAGTTCCAAGGTATAAAATCTGTAGGGTTAAATCTTGGGTCACAATCTCATGGTGTCAGACCTGCAGAGCTGAAACTTTCCATAAAGTTGGGAGATGCGAAGTCATCTGAATTGACTCCAGGTCCAAAAATACAAGGCTCAAAGTCTATGGAGTTTAACCTTGGGCGACAATTGCAGTGTATAAAACCTCCTGAGTTGTCCACAGGTCCACAGCTGCAAAAAAGGAAAATTATGGCATCAACCTCAGAGCCACGGTTTCAAGGTGTGAAAACTGTGGAGTTAAACCAAGAGCCACAACTTGGAAGTATGAAATTTGTGCAGTGGAAACCAGGACCTGAGTCCCAAGGTATGAAATCTGTAGGGTTAAAATTTGGGTCACAATCTCAAAGTGTCAAACATGCAGGGTTGAAACCATCTCTACAGTTGGAAAGTGTGAAGTCATCTGAATTGACTTTAGGTCTAAAACTTCAAGATGCAAAATCTATGGAGTTTAACCTTGGGCCACAGTTACAGTGTGTAAAAACTTCTGAGTTGTCCACAAGACAACAGCTGCAAAAAGGGAAGGTTCTGATGTCAACCTCAGAGCCAAAACTTCAAGGTGTGAATGCTGTAGAGTTAAATCAAGAGCCACAGCTTGGAAGTATGAAATCTGTTCAGTGGATGCCAAGACCAGAGTTCCAAGGTATGAAATCTGTGCTAAACCTTGGTTCAAAATCCCAAGGTGTCACAAGTGTAGAATCGAAACCTTTAATACAGTTAAGAGATGTGAAGTTATCTGAGTTGACTCCAAAGCCAAAACTCCAAGGTATACAACCTCTGGCATCACTCTGGGAGCATCAGTTTCAGGGGTTCAAATCTATTGATTTGAAACCTGGGCTACAGTTGAAGAGTATGAAATCATGTGATCCAATTTCAAGGCCAAAACTCTGTGATATAAAATCCATAGCACTCAAACCTGGGCTTCATTTGCAAGATGTGGAATCTTCTGAGTTGACTCCAGGACCACAGCTTCAAGTGAAACCCTCAGAGTCATCCCCAGGAACACAGCTGCAAAGTATAAAGTCTCTAGTAGTTACACAAGAGCCACAGCTTTCAGAGGTAAAATCTGGGGCATTAAGCCAAGAGCTACAATTACAAAGTGATGAGACTGTAGAAATGAACTTCCTACTACACTTGAAAAGTATGAAATCATCTGAATCGGCTCCTCAGACAGAGTTTCAAAGTATGAAATCTGAGGATTTCAACTCTGGACCACAGTGGCAAGGTATCAAATCTTCTAATTTGATACCTAAGACAAAGTCCCGAGATATGAAATTTATTGAGTTAAACCCCAGCTCACAGTTGAAAAGTATACTATTTTCTGATTTGACCTCGAGCACCAAGATTCAAGGTGTTAAATCTAAAGACTTCAAATCTGTGCCACAGTTGCAAGGTGTGAAATCTTCTGAGTCAATACTAAGAACAAAACTTCAAGAAATGAAATTGGTGGACTTCAACTCAGGTCCACAATTGGAAGACATGAAGTCTTCTAGGTTGATCATGGGTACAAAGCTTCAAGATGTAAAATCTATGGATTTCAGTTCTAGATCATACTTACAGGGTGTGAAACCTATAGAATTCAAACCTAGTCCAAAGTCACAAAGTGAAAAATCTGATTTGACCTTGGGGAGGAAATTTCCAGGAGCAAAATCTGTGAAGCTGGACTCAGGTCTACAGTTACAAGATATAAAATCTTCTCATCTGATCATGGGTACAAAGCTGCAAGATGTACAGTCGATGAAGTTCAGGTCTGGACTGTTTTCTCAAGGTATAAAACCTGAGGTGATCTCAGGGACAAAGCTTCAAGGTGTGAAATCAGTGGACTTCAATTCTGGATCACAGATAGAAAGTGAAAAATCTTCTGAGTTGATTCAAGGAACAAAACGTCAAGATGTAAAAACTGTAGAGTTCAACAGTGTTCCATGTTCACAAAGTATGACATCACCTGAATTAACACTAGAGACAAAGCTTCAATGTGGGGAGTCCATGGAATTCAACTCAGGTCCACACTTGCAAGATCTGAAATATTCTAATTTGATCCTGAGCACAAGGCTTCCAGGTGTAAAATCTATGAAATTCAATTCTGGATCACACTTGCAGGGCATGAAATCTTCTGAAGTGATCCCAGGGACAAAGCTTGAAAAAGTGAAATCTGTGGGGCTCATGCCTGGACCAATGTGGCAAGATGTAATGCCTTTGTTCAGGGTTGGAAGGCATCAGCAAGATGAGACATCTCATAAATTGAATCCCTGGCCAGAGTTTCAAAATGTAAAATTTATGGTGTTCAATACTGGGCCACATTTGCAACATAGAAAATCTTCAGAATTTTGCACAGGGACAAAATTTCAAGATGTAAAATCTATGAAATTTAATCATGAGCAACAGTTACAAGATGTGAAATTTTCTGAGTTGGGCCTGGGAAGAAGTATTCAAGGTGTGGAATCTTTAGATCTCAACCCTGGGCTACAGTTGCAAGGAATAAAATCTTCTGAGTTGTTCACAGACAGAAAATTTCCAGATGAGCAATCTCTGGAATTTAAGCATGAGCCTAAATTGCTAGGTGGGGGGAAATCCTCTGAACTAAATCTAGAGCCACAGATTCAGTGTAAAAATTGTATGTCATTCAATACTGGGCCACAGTTACAAGTTATAAAATCTTCTGAGTTGAATCCTGGATCAGAGTTTCAATGTATAAAATCTCAGGTGTTTTGCCTTGGACCACATTTGCAAGATGTGAATTCTGCATCTGTGTCAAGACCAAAACTTCAGTGTATAAATTCTACTGGGTGCAACCCTCAATCCCATGTGCAAGGTGTGAATTCTGCATCCATTTCAGAGCCACAGCATCGGTGTATAAATTCTACTGGGTACAATCCAGGACCATATTTGCAAGATGTGAAATCTTCTGAACTAACTCTAGCTTCAAAATCTCAAAGTATGAAGTGTTCTGAGTTGAATCCAGGGACAGAAATTCAAAGTGAGGTATCTATGATATTCAACTCTGGACCACATTTGCAAGATTTGAAATCTGAATTGATTCCAGAGTCAAAGTTTCTAGGTATAGCACCTATGGAATACAACCCTGGGCTCCATCTGCAAGATGTGAATTCTTCTGCATCCATTCCAGAGCCACTTCACTGTGTAAATGCTATTGGGTGCAACCCTGGGCCCCATTCGCAAGGTGTGAATTCTCCTGCATCCATTCCAGAGTCACACTGTCACTGTGTAAGTGCTATTGGGTGCAACCCTGGGCCCCATCTGCAAGGTGTATCTTCTTCTGCATCCATTTCAGGGTCACAATATCAGTGTGTAAATTCTATTGGGTGCAACTCTGGGTTGCATTTGCAAGGTATGAATTCTGCATCCATTCCAGAGCCACAACTTCACTGTGTAAAGTCTACTGTGTACAGCCCTCGGCCCCATCCACAAGGTATATATTCTTCTGCATCCACTTCAGGAACACAATATTATTGTGTAAATTTGATTGGGTACAACCCTGAGCCCCATCCACAAGGTGTATATTCTTCTACATCCATTTCAGGGTCCCAGCATCAGTGTGTAAATTCTCCTGTGTGTAACCCTGGGTCACAGTTGCAAGGTGTGAATTCTTCTGCATCCATTCCAGGGCCACAACTTCAGTGTGTAAACTCTACTGGGTGCAACCTAGGATCATATTTGTCAGGTGTGAAATCCTCTGAACTAACTCTAGTTTCAAAACCTCAAGGTATTAAGTCTGAGTTGAACCCGGGGACAGAACGTCAAAGTGAAGCATCTATGATGTTCAAACCTAGACTACGTTTGCAAGGTTTTAAATCTGAAGTGACTCCAGAGTCAACGTTTCCAGGTATAGCACCTATGGAAAACCAACCTGGGTCACAGGTACAATGCAGAAGTTCTTCTGAGTTGAATCCAGGGCCAAAATTACAATGTATAGATTCTATGGAGTGCAAACTTGGGCCACACTTGCAACATGGGAAATCTTTTGAATCGACACCAAAATCTTTTGCATTTCAAGGTATGAGATCTTCTGAGTTACATTCAGGGCTACAGTTTCAAGGTATAAAATCTGTTGTGTTTGACTCTGGGCAAAATTTGCAAGATGTAAAATGTGAATTGACTCAAGGAACAAAGTTTAAAGGTATAACACCAATGGAGTTCAACTCTGTCTCACAGCTGCAAGGTATAAATTCTTCTGAGTTGAATTCAGAGTTAAAACCTCAGTGCATAAATTCTATGAAGTTTAATCCAGGGCTGCAGATGCAAGGCATTAAACCCTCTGAATTGAACCCTGGGTCAGAATCTCAAGGTACAAAATCTAGTCTGTTCAACTGTGGGCCACATTTGAAAGGTTTGAAATCTTCTGAGTTAATTTCAGGTACAAAGTTTCAAGGAGACCAAGTTTTGGAGCACTTTGGATCACAGCAGCAAGTTGTGCAACCTGTGCTTACTTTGGGTTCTCAGTTAAAAGGTATGAAATCTGTGGCATTTTTACAAGAGCCACTGCTTAAAGATGTAAAGTCTGTGGAGTTAAACAAAGAGCCATTGCTTTGTGGCACAAATTCTATGGGATTGATTTCAGGCTCTGAGCTGCAGGACTTAAAATTAGAACCATATTTTCAAAAAGTGAAACCTGTGGAGTTAATTCCAGACCCACATCCTCAAGATATGAATTCTGGGGGACTGCCTCCACATCACAGAGAGCAATCTGTTAAGTCAAACCCATGGCCACAACCTCAAAGTGTGAATTTTTTAGGGTTAAGATCATGCCTCAGGTCAAAATGTGTTGAATCTGTGGCCTCTGCACCATATTTTCAAGATGTAAAACCTGTGGAGTTGATATCAGGGTCCCAACAGCAAGATATGAATTGTCGAGAGTTAACTTCAGGATGGCAAGGAGTGAAATCAGTAATGTTGGCACAAGAGCCAACTAGGAGGTTCCCACCAGGACCAATGTTGACTAGTGTCAGATTTTCAAATTTGTCTCCAGAATCTCAGCAACAAGGTATGAAATCTTTAGAGTTTACTCCAGAGTCAAAATTGCAAAGTATAAAATATGGGAAATTGTCTCCAATGTCTTTGCAGCAAACTACAAAATCTGTGGAGTTAGCACAAGGGTCACTCCTTCAAAGAGTGAAATGTGGGGAACAAATTCTAAGAACGAATTATCAAATAGCAGAATCCTCTGAAATAACTCCTAGACCAGGGTTTCAGTCTGCAAAATATGCAGAGATGATCCCAAAGCCAAGGCATCAAGTCCCTAAATCTGTGAATTTGATTTCAATGCCAATTTATCCAGCCACAGAATCTTCAGAAATAGCCCAAGGGTTGGCACAGAAAGGCACTGAAACTGTAGATACATTTGTGGGGTTGACCCCAAAGTCAACAGGTAAAGACATGGAGTCATCAGGGATGCCGCTGCAGCTGGATCTTCCAGTATCAAAATTCGTTGATCTGACTCCAGTGCTGCTGGATCAAGGCTCAAAATCCTTAGAATTAACTCCAGAGAAAAACTACCAAGTCCCAGAAACTCTGGAATCATTGTCTCCATCATGGCCTCAAGTTAAGGACTTGGGGGAGTTATATATGGGGCCTCTGCAGCAAGTCGTGGAATCTGAAGAGATTTCCCTGGAGCTCAAACACCACACAGAAGCTATGGGGTTGACCTCTGAGGCAAGGCTTCAAGGAAAGGAATTCCTTGGAATGACCCCACTACCAATAAGTCAAGTCAATGGATGTGCAGAGAGATCTCCAAGGCCGTATCCTCAAGATTTAGAACCTGTGGAGCCAATCTCTGAAAAAAGACTGCAAAGGGAAGAATCTGTAGTATTGATTCCAAAGTCATTACATCACATTCCAGATTCTGTTTCAGGGATGGCACCAAGGCTAGGACATCAAGTCCCTGAATTTGTGGAGCTGACTTCTGAGACAGGGCTGCGAGTGGAGAAAACTTTGGAATTGACCCCAAAATCACAGAATCATGTGGGATCTTTAGGGATAATATTAGGGTTAGGACATCAAGTCCAAGAATCTGTAAATTCGTCCTCTAAGCCATGGCTGCAAGTAGAAAAATCTTTAAAGTTGTCTCCAAAGCAAACAAGTCAAGTTGTGAGACATGCAGAATCTGTAGAACTCACCTCTGAGACATGGCAGCAAAGGGAGGTATCAGTGGGACAAACACAGTCAGATAATCAAAGTATAAACTATTCAGGGATAGCTCCAGGACCACTGGGTCAAATTATAGAATTTATGAGGATTAGTCCAGAGCCATTAGATCAAGTCACAGAATCTGCAAGAACACAGCTTCAAGTTGCTCAATCACAGGGGGTGAGCCCAGCAGATTCCCCAAAAGTTATTCTGTCTGTGAAAGTGACCCCTGGGCCACCATTTCAGGTTGCAAAGTCTGTGACAATACCAGGGGCAATCCCTCAAATGGGAGAATGTGTTGAGTTGACTCCAGAACTGCAAGATGTGAGACCTTCAGAGTTTGCTTCAAGGCTATGGTCCCAAGATGTGAACCCTAAAAAATTAATCTCAGAGCCAACACACCAAATTTTGGAAACAATGGAGTTGACAGGGTTTCAAATTGTAAAGACGATATTAGTCCCTGGGCCACTCCCTCAAATCATAAAATCTGAGGAATTAGCACCAGGACCAGTTCCTCAGATTGTAGAACCAATAAGAATAGCCCTAGAATCAGGAATTGAAGTATTGGATTGTTTGGATTTACTCTCAAGGTCACATATTCAAGAACTAATAGAACCTGTAGAATTAACTCCATGGCCAAATAGTCAAGTGAAATCTGAAGAATTAATCTCACAGCAAACATCTCCATTTGAAGAACCTATAGTATTGACTCATAAACAAGGGCTTCAGGCTGTGAAATCTATCGTGATAAAAACAGAGCCTCCTAAAGTTGTGGAATGTGAGAATTTGAATCTAGAACAAATGAGTCAGAATAGGGAGTCTGAGGAATTAAAAACAGAAGAGGTACAAGTAGGAACTTCCTTCTCTAGTTTCCTACACAGCTCTTCAACCCCGTTCATTTCAAGCTCTGTCAAAACAACATCTGAGTTGGCAGGACTCCGGGATTCTGGGATGCCAGAAGTATCAAGATCTTTGGATACAACAGACTTTGAAACAGGTATTTTGCAGCCTGAAGAGTCCTATATAGGCCCTACTATGATACAGTCTTCAATTCTTCCCTTGGCCCTTCATAATCAACCCTCTGATAAGATAGCTAACACTGTGGAAAACTTATGTCCTGCGATCCTAGGAGTGGATGTCATATCCAAGGAAAGAACTAAGAGGAAGCAGTTGGAGAACTCATTCCGGAGACATCCACCACGAAGCTGGAGATCACCATCTGGGACATTCCAGGAAGAGCCAGCAGTTCGAAGAGGCCTTTCTAATTCTTTCCTGGGCAGACAACAGAATGTCTGGGAGAGTCATACCTGGAGGCAGCGATTACCTAGAAAATATCTCTCCACTATGCTAATGTTGGGAAATGTCTTGGGGACCACTATGGAAAGGAAGCTTTTTTCTCGAACATCTTTAGCAGAAAGAGCCACTGCAGATAAGTGTCAAGCTATTCAAAATTTATTTGGGGTTCCAGCTGAACTGATGGAATTTTCCCAGAGCCTGCTAGAGAAGGGCCCAGGTACTATTTCTCAGCGTTCAGTGGTCAAAAACTATATTCAGAGACATACTTTATGCCATGGTCCTGATAAAAGAATGTCCTTAAGGATATGGACACGTGGCTCCACATCTTCCATAATACAGCAATACTCTGGGACTATAATGGGAATAAAGAAAACAAATTTGAGGCTCAGTGATATATCCCAGGAAGCCATTCAGCACATACCTATCTCATGTGTAGGGGACCAGCTTCCTGCCCCAGTAAAGTCAAGGTCTTCCCTCAGGATATTTTACAATAGGGAAGATCCTGTTCCAATGGAAGGGAGCATGAGCTCACAGAGTGATTCACAGACAAGGATTTTTGAGCCCCAACATTCCCTCAAGCCAAGTTATCTTTCCCAGACCACCACTGACTTCTCTGAACAGTGCCAGTTGCTACAGGATCTGCAGCTAAAAATAGCAGCAAAACTGTTAAGGAATCAAATACCCCCCAATATGCCTCCACCTCTAGCTTCAGGTCTGGTCCTAAAATACCCTATCTGTCTACAGTGTGGCCGGTGTTCAGGATTTAATTGCTGCCATAAATTACAGGCCACTTTTGGGCCTTATCTTCTTATATATCCACAACTCCACCTTGTAAGCACTCCTGAAGGCCATGGTGAGATTCGGTTGCATCTTGGCTTCAGGTTGCTGACTGGGAAAAGACCCCAAGTCTCAAAGTATGATGAAAGAGATAGACCTATCATACCAAGGAGCTCTATATCACAATCAAAAAGGAAAGCTAAAATCTATACTCAAGCTTCCAAGAGTTCTACTCCTACAATAGATTTTCAGTCCGAGTCTTCCCAGTCTCCTGCTTCTTCTGTACAAGTTCACACCAGGCAATGGCAATGTGGCAGCCCTAGACTAGTAGAAAAGACCGAAAATAGAGAGCATGAGCATTATGAATGCACTCAAGTTCACATGCTACCAGAGAGTGACTCTGAAAGCAATTACAAGAAAAAATGGGCTAAAGTGAGAACCAAGAAGACCTCTGATTTAAAACGTCCCAAGAGGAGAATCAACAAGGGAAGTAGAAAACAAAATGCAAAGTTCTACACAAACAGTAGAACCACAATAGAGAGTACCTCTAGGGAATTACCAGCTTTAAGAAGGAAGAGGGTTGGAACAGCTCAGACAAGTACTGCTGCCTCTTTAAAAAGACCACCTAAGAAATACTCCCAAACCAAGTTCTTGCAATTGCTTTTTCAGGGCCTCAGGCAAGCATTTCAAACAGTACACAGGGTTTTAGCTTCTGCTGGGCAGAAGCCTGAGGATAAAACAAGGCCAGACAATTTGCAGTCAAGCAAAAAGTACCTGCCAAAACAAAAAGTCACAGACTATTGCTTACCAACAGATATCAAAAGAGACAGGAAGCCAGTTGACAAGCTAAGGCCAACAGGCTCAGCCACTAAGCAGGGGGACGTATTATGGGGAGCAACAGACCAATGTAGATCAGCTCAACAGCCAAAAAGTGATGGCTCTCTTCAACTAGGACCTCTCCAGCTGCCTAAGCCCATAGGTTCCCAAAGAGATACCACTTTCCAGATGATCTCAGTTGGGCATTTGGGTACAGTTCAAAAAAACAGCAGTAGCAGATCAAAGAAAGACTTCTGCAGAAATGAAATCTCCAGCCAGGAGTCTAAGAACTTGGCCACGCTAGGAACCAGAGTTCAGGCCCAAAGTAGAATCCTCCCGGGTTCCCCTATGAAGAGAAGCCGGCACAGTCACCTTAAAGAGAAGCTCATACACAAGGAGCGAAGCCACCACCGCATCTACAGAGACAGAACCCGACGGGATCCCTTTGAGAGGAGTCCTTGCAGTTCCTCTCAAAGAGACCATCGCAGACCCTTTGGGAGGAGACACCATCGTCTCTCTGAGAGAAGCTCTCGCAGTCCCTCTTGGAGAGACCATTGCAGTTCTGAGATGAGACGTCCAAGTCTGTCTGAGAGGAGCCTTCCAAGCCTCTCTCTGAGAGACCATCGCAGACTTTCCGAGAGGAGACGATACAGTCTCTCTGAGAGAAGCCCTCGAAGTCCCTCTCGAACAGACCATCGCAGATCCTCTGAGAGATGTCACAGCCTCTTGGAGAACAGTCATCACCGTCCCTCAGGGAGGAGCCAACGCAGTCCCTCAGAGAGGAGATGTCTCAGACCCTCTGAGAGGAGCCGTCCCAGTCCCTCTGAGAGGAGCCGTCCCAGTCCCTCTGAGAGGAGCCGTCGCAGTTTCTCTGAGAGGAGCCGTCGCAGTTTCTCTGAGAGGAGCCTTCGCAGTTTCTCTGAGAGGAGCCGTCCCAGTTTCTCTGAGAGGAGCCACTGCAGTCCCTCTGAGAGGAGTCGTCGCAGTCCCTCTGAGAGGAAAGCACACAGCTCCTCTGGGAAAACCCGCCACAGGCCTGAGATGAGGCAAGGCAGGCCCCCTGAGAGGAGCCATCGCAGTTCCTGTGAGAGGAGCCGTCGCAGTCCCTCCGAGAGGAGCCATCATCGCAGCCCCTCGGAGAGGGGCCGTCGCAGTCCTCCTACGGAGCGACACCAGCACAGTTCCCCCAAGGAGAGCCACCGCCGGTCCAAAGGCTTCAAGCGCGCCTCAAGCGGGTCTCCAAGGGCGCGCGCACAAAAACGCTGGAGCCGGGCGAGTGTGGAGCCCGGAGCCGGGTGAGGCCGAGTGGCCGCCTCCGCCTGGGCTCCCGCGAGTCACCGCCCGGCTGCCCTCTCAGGCTTCTCCACGCCCGGCCGCTGCCCAAGGCCGCGACCTCCGCAGTGAAGGGGCCGCCGAGTCCCTCCCCGGGGGTGGGGCAGAAGGGCCTGGCATTCTCTCGGATCAATAAAGAGGCGAAGACCAAGTCCGCGCGCGTCTGCTGGGGCCTC